ACTAGTTATTCAACCCGAAGCTCCATTGCAAGGAGGACGTTTCTCAGTGGTATGCTACTCATTTTGAGGTACATCATGAGATATTCCAATTGTTATTCCTCACCTTAACAAGTGTATGTCCATCAACAAATTGAAGTGTATATTTCTAATTTATTGGGGCGAACAAGAGGGAACTGTATCAATACCAGCGCATACGTTAACCCAGCACTAACGTGAATTACTGATATAACAAACGTTCATAAAAGAAATCTTTCTCCACCCTTTTCTCAAAGTAGTAAGTACAACAGACAACCTGGCATTAATGGACAGTTTTAGGTAATAGTGGTCCACAGCTGATTATTATTATGTTGATTTCAGTAAGACGGTGAGTTAGCCAGTTAGCTGGAAATGTACACAATATAAAACACAAAGCTAAGTATTTTAAACACCTGGCACAAAATATATACGTCAATAATTATTCATACTTACAGGTTGTGATTCTGAGGAGGTGTACTGTGTACTGACCCATCTTTCAAGAGCAAGCATTCTTCGAATCCCGCGATTTGAGTCCCGCGTACCATCCCAAAACGGGATTCGAATTACAAACAACTTGTTTAGGTGATTCTGAGTCGATTCTTTCTTTTGGGAGACATTAAAGTGCACTTTCGACTTAACAATTTTGTAGAAGATTTACATGCAAAGACAAGTTTATTACACACTCCATGAAAGGGAATATTCGAAAAACCATAATATGGGCATATCAATGGTCTACGGTCTACCAATACTCTTTGGTACTATCAAGCCAACCCTACTCACAGGTAAAGCCCGACCAATAAAGGATTTTGAAGGCCGATACCGATACAAATATTTTTTTGGTTTTAAAATATTCCGATATATCGGCCAATATTTTTATTTCTATTTTTTATTTCAAAAACGCTCAACAAAACATTAACAGATTTCCCTAACATTAGTTATTTGTATTTTAGTTTTAACTAAAATAATATGATGATGCATTTTAAAAAGAAACTTGTTTCTTTTATTGTCACAACAGAACAGACTGATGATAGTGGCATTAGCTAGCTTTGTGGTTAGCTAGCCTATGATGAGCCAGAATTTAGCTATGGATAACGTCATACTGCAAATTGTAAAACATAAATTTTCAATATACGTAACAGGCCAAGGAGAGATGATACGTCTCATTGCTATAACTGTCACACGCTATTAAAGAAATACTTCAGTCACATTGTCAAAAGTTAAAAGGACAGTCAGTCAACTACACTGTAACAACGTAACGTAACTATTACTATCCAATTCCGCTTCACTCTCGGCTTATTTAACAGCAGCAAAACTGGACATGATAGTCCCAAATTTTGTCATGCTTATTTGAGTTAAGAGAACTGATGCGGATGTTCTTTTAATTGTTATTCAAGCAATGTATGTCTCGTGACGAACTCAACGAGTGTTGCCAACAGGAACGGTGTAGAGTGCCTTCTGGTGGACAAACTATACAACTCCAACACTCATGACATGGTTCAAGCGTGTTTCGTCCGTTTTTATTTTATTTTTGAAATATTCATTTATCGGCCATTATAACTGATACTGATAGTTTGGAAAATACCTAATATCGACCGATAATATCGGCCTGCCGATATATCCGTCTCGCTCTACTACCACAGATTATTGATAACATTCCATCTCTAAAGTCAGATACCCAACAGGTGCTGGGCATAAAAAACTATGGCTACAATAATCTATCAAAATCAACATTCTTTTGGGGAAAAAAATGCAACGAGACATTGTCTCTCCCATGAAATGACTGCAGTCGAGCAGGAAGGAAGTGCAAGCTTAGGAAGAGATCAATGCGCAGTTGAAAGAGCGAAGGTCTGGGGGCAATCAGGTGTGGCCAGGTTTACAGTCAGCCAGAAAAGGACTGAAGCTTAAGAACCGTGTTTAAGCATGTACACCTTTTCTGTAGGGAGTTGTGAGCTGGACAAGGATACTGGGCAGAGAGAGACAGGTCCTTTTCCTGTCTCTGCAGGGTATTAACTGTGTTTTGTGATGCTGATAATCTGGTGAACTAACTAATCCCCACATTCTTTCATATAATTGTTACCTATAATCCTTGGGATTTTAAATGGCACATGAAGAATTAGATGCAGCTAGAAGCGACCTGCTGTGTTGGGGGGAATTGATCCTGTCTATCCTCAATTTTCTCCTAGGCCTTTAATTTATCAAGTGTAAATGTTGTGTGCTACTGGAGAGGTTGAAAAGAAGATGGGTGAAGCATAGAGAGGACCAGATCTGCATCTTTCCACAGACACCTGTACATTCGCTTTCCTGTATTAAAAGTTGATTTAGTTTTTCATAATCAGAACAACAACGAGCACAAATGAAGACCTCTTTTAAGACAACAATCAATGGCATATTAAATGTGTAGCTAGCACAATTATGGAGCAGCCCAGCAGGAATTCTGGTGCCACAAACAAGAGATAACAAGAGAGTTTGTCCCTGTTTGACAATGGTTTTGGCACATCCTGCATACCAATTATTAAGCTCTATTTCGCTAATCTACTATCACAGCGTGAACTTGAATAATAATGGCTTGATTTAATTGCAGGTATTTCCTGTCCATTACAAGTAAAGCTGGTTTGGTAGTTAGCTGATAATAGTTTTGCATTTATTAATGTCTGTAAATTATGCATGCCATTAAAGATAATTACAAAGATAAGTAAAGCAGAGTACATAATAATTTTAAATAAATTAGAAGAGAGTTCTATGCCATAAGTGCAATTAGTCACATTTAAAATGATTCTTATATATTTACTAATACAAATATTAATAAATAATTTATATTTCTATAATTTTCTGGACTGGATAATTTGCATAATAATAAAATAATAATAAAAAAATCGACTTAAGACTGCCTTTGGTATCCAGGGTCACATATTAACTAGGTGACAATGTTCAGCCAACAGACAAATGATTTGCTAAAGCATTTATGACTATTATTCCTTAGTGCTTACACATTTGTTGCACCAACTTTCTTTAATCTGTTTTTCTTATCACTTTTAAAATCATTATAACCATTATTTTCCCCAAGAAATCTAAGAACTGTGGTTGCTATGTCCCTGTACGTCACAGCCGACCCATGCAACACAATGACGCACTAGAAGTGAGTTTAGAAATTCAATTCCACAGCACAGCACAGGAATCACTGCGGTGCCTTCTGCGTAGGTGTTTAGTCATTTTCTAAAGTTTCCACACTGTGTAATATGGCAGTGGCCCAACAAAGGAAAGCAAAAACAGCATGAACGGAGCATGATGGGAGAACGGATGCCTTGGTAAGGGGTGTTGTTGAGTCCTAAACATTACAGTATAAGATCTCATTAAGATCTCCACAACAAGTAATATACGACAAACAGGCGACAATATATACTGCCTCTAATGTATACTTTGACAATATATTAGCATTCTCCTCTTTTTTGTTTTTATTTACTAAGGTGGACGGCGTAGCCAGCTGCAGAAAAAGGAAAAAAAATGCATTTCGCTTTTTTTGGTTGAGCTGGTCCTATCACAGATGTGCAAATAACAATGCCTGACAATGTAATTGTATGTGCGGCATTTCAAGAAACGAAATTAGTACCAACAATAATATTAGAAGATGGAGAGACACGGTGTCACAGAGCACAAGATAATTTATTAATGTAAGCCTATTTAGATGTTTCTCGCACTCCCTTTGCATTCTGACAACTCATAAAACCCACGCAATAAACCAAAATGAAAAGATAGGAAGAGAGTTAGATATTTCATGTTAATTGACTTCCATTCATACAGCTGTGAATGCCAAATTCCTCTAAAACATTGTGTTCCTTCTTTTGGTTGAATATGCAAATAAATCTTGTGAATATGCATGAATGGGTTCGTTGCAGAGGTCACAACCTCTGTCCCATTCAGATGCAAGTCTTTCTCTTTAAAGAGAATGTCAATGTTCCAAACTTAAACTACATTTAGACCTTGAAAACTTTCAAAATTCTTGATTATTCTTGTCTGCTGTGATTTCTAAGAAACGTCTCCCTTAAGACTCTTTTAACACACTGTTATGTGATATATCGATCGATAGCTGGCGTATCTTCAGGTGCTTATTATCCAACCATTCTCTCTCGCTCTCTGAGCCCTGGACAACAATAATTGGAAGTGAATACACAATTTCACATCCTTTTCAAGGATGAATCTGATGTATTGGGACCCAACTGAACTCCAGAGGAATTTAACATCCATGTGAAGAGATCTGTCACAGTCGTCCAGATTTAAATATGATATCCATCGAAGCGCACATACATATGAAACAATCTGCTGCTTTATTATTTTTTTTTTTTATAACAGTAGATCCAGTCAATGAATTTTTATGATGAACTATCATATCAAGTGGCAACTACTGTGCAAAAAAATTATATTCTTTTCCTCTGCCGCTTCCTATGCCTCAGTTTAAGTCTTTATAATGTCTTTCAGTCTCAAACTTTTTCTTCCTCTGTCTTTCTCCTGAAGCTTTTCCGTGCCTCAGGGGAGATGAAGCTGAAGCATTGGACTCACATCTCAGAGGGATAGCTAGTGGCCCTGCTTTCAACTCAAACCTATACAGCCATGTGTCACCTATGGGACTGAACTGTAACTGCTGAAAGTGTGAAAGAGAGTCACTGAGAAATAGAGAAAAGGAGACACTAAAGGAATAAAAGTTCACGCCAAAATTAAAATGCTCTCATTATTCATGCTGTTTTATGGAAAATAGCTGCAGACTCTTCAAAAATTCTGTTTGTGTTTGACAGAAAACTAATATAATTAATCTAATATTGACAGGTTCAGAATGACTTGAGGGTTAGTAAACAATGAATACATCATCGGGGCATTAATAAAGCACTATCATATACATGCATCCAAATAATGACAGAATTGCATTTTTTGGGGTGAATTATCCCTTTAAATTGACCAAAACAGAACATCATTATGGACATGCATTCACTCACCATATTTATCGATGACACAGGTCCAATACTATTAACGAAGATATCAACATCAATGACTGTCGGTTTAACTGCAGAGAGAGAGAGAGAGAAAGAGAAATAAAGTAAGATTACATGAGACTCATTGCCACAAAACAAAAATGTTTCAATGAGGAAAAGTTTATTTTTTACTAATATTAGGATTTGTTTTACTCTCCAGTTGTTTATACTGTGTGAAAGTAACGTTTAACAAATGAACTGTCAGTGCACCAAGAGGTCATCAACTTTGTGATGACATCACACTGCATAATCTTCTTTCCCTGAATCCATTTGAAATCTCTTTTAAAGGATTTCCTCTTTCAGCAGTTTATTACAATAATCTACAGTTTTAAACATTAGCTTGATTGACATTAAGCGCGGCTGAAAAGCACTCGTCAGAACATGAGAAATGAAGTGGAAAGTTGGGGGGCAAAGGAAAGGAACTGTGAGAATTTCATTATGAGTGAAAGCTTAGGTCTGACAACCCTCCATTAGGAAAGCATTTTCTGGAGCCGAAGAGATGAAGGAGGGGTTCATTCTTCACAAAAACAACAAAATGACAAAAGACAGTGAGTCAAGTACATTATATCATTCCGACAGTAGCATATAGTGTCAGCCATGGTAATGTTTACAACTCAAAACTCTGTGAGACATCTAAATTTGTCGTCCCGATTTTTAATTTTCTTACTGAGAGCCACCACAAAGTTTTGTTTTCTAGATGTATATTTAATAAATAAATAAATTGTATTTAAATAATAATATAAATGGAAAATCATAAAACGATGCAGATTAAGTAGATTTGGGGAGAAAAAGTAGCTTTCATTTGAAATAAAATAAATCAAATGTCCTAATCTTTAAAGAATATAACAACGTACTACACTATATAAGAAGGGTACTTAAGTTTTTCGTGTTGCCTTAGCCAACCTCTGACCACTTCTGTCAGTCCAACAGCGGTCGAATGGGCACAACCCCCTCAGGGGTGCTTACACTTAAATTTGAGCATGACATTTTCAATCTTCCCTCTCATTTTCTAAATGCCTTCTTCACTGAGTGTGCATAAAAATAAAGATTCCCATCTGTGCAAGAATTAACAGTGGCAGTTACTTTGATATCGTACATGCTGTCTAGAAGTAATGCACAGTACCACAGGGCCCTAGTTTGAAGAGGATAAATTTAAATTGTGTGTGGACTTCAAGGTGTATCGTCGGTGATTTATGCAATTAATCACATCCAGTTAAACAAATCCTCTAAGTAGGACTTCAGTTCTATTTAGTAAGCTGCATAGCTAACATTTGGTAGAACTTCTGCCAAATGTTAGCTATGCAGCTTACTAAATATCACTGATTCATTGTTTCATTCATTCATTCGTAGATTTGATATCTTGTCTCCAGCTGTTCATATGCATTCTTCTATAAACATCCTTAACAGATTAAAAATATATATTTAGCTGAAATGCTAATTCAATCTGTTGTTTTCTTAATTTGACTAGACTTAAATCTAGATTTAAAACCAAGACATGTCCCTGGAATGCTGCACTGCTATACCCATTAAGCATTTATTAGGCGCATGCATTACTTCATACCTGTTTTAAACATTTATTGGATATGTTTGATTAATTATAAAGAGCTACACATTGCTGTCAACTTTGAATGCGATATGGGAAATAACAGCTAAGTACCATGAATATTTCATTACTCAAGTAAGTCACAGTTCATCATCCAATGTCCTATTTCACAGCTGGAAAATTACATTTACAGTTTGTAATTGCTTTCAATTTACAGCAATGATACAAATTAGACAGATATTGTTGCTGTGCAATGATAATGTGCAATAAAGTTAAAGAGCTTAGTGTTTGGATCTGGACACAGAATGTTTGGATGCTTTTCAATATAAGATTTATAGATCTCTCCCTGCATGCCCAATGTCATTATGCCTGAGCCTCACCATCCACACGTCTTCACTCTCTCACACCTTACTTAGGTCGGGGAGGAAGCATGGTTATTCAATGTAAACTCTTGCTTGGTAATCGTCTGGCAGCTGTGGGGTGCTGTCAGGTGAGGGGGTCATGGGTCTGTCTCCGACAGAGGATGTTCGCTCATTAGAGTACGACTAAGGACAAGCACCTGCATCAAATGTCACACTAACTCATTAATTGCTCTACACACACCAATGTGCCCACCTAGCCAAAATAAGATAAGACAAGGGAAAAAAAGGGGCAAACTAGGTAAAACATACATGTATAAATTACAATTTGGATGCATAATACTTGCAGAAAGACAGACTAGACACCCCATACACCTTTGAAATGTATGCTATGACCAGTATGTTTATTGAAAATAAGGAATATTAATAATGTTCTAAATAGATATCATATAGCTTTTAAAATTCATCTGTACTAAATCAAACTACAAACCACCACGATCAACACAATTATGTGCAAAAACCTCATAAGCAAGGCCTAGGCGACCTCATCATTTACAAAAGAACATAGGCCTCCTGGAAAAAAGATTGTTATAACATTGGAGAGAATGTTATAATAAACTTGTTCTGAGCTAAAAATAATAAATAATATTGTATGGCAGTTGAGTCAGTTCAAAAAAATGAAGAAAAAACTTACTCTTACTCCTTGTTTTGGTTCTCTCTCTTTTTTTTTTTTTTTTGAAAACCTCAAAATCGAAAATTTTCACTTGTTTTGCCTGTAGCTCGAAATGATCCCTTGAGCATTCCTTATGCCAGCACAGGTCACATGTCTATAAAGCCTTAAGCTATTGAAATAAGTATAGGTGTATGATGATCATGGAATGGTATAAAACGTTTTTTGCATGAAAAATGGAGAGAGAAAAAATGAAAGAACATACAGGAATATTAGCTTAACCCAAAGTCTGCTCTGAACCCTGTGACAGTCTTGTGCTCTACCTCTCATTCATCTGTATTCCTGCAGGAGCACTTTGGGCCTCCCTGCATACTTCCATGCCTCCAAATTATCGAACCATGTCGTGAACAATTCATCGGTGGGATTTCACGCTCAGCTTCCGCCCAATCATTTATGCAATCCAGTTCAACACGGGTCTTATGTCTTGGGAAATCAAATCAGTGCAGTGAATTTTGTAGTCTAACAACATGATTTTTGTCACATGCAGATGAAGGGATTCATCATGCATTTATATCCCATCATGCCACTGAGGGATATCCTTTCTCCTCAGCATCACTGTAATAAAGTGCATGTGCTTTGAAATGCGATATGACAAATAGTCCTTTGAACAACTAATGGCTTGAGTCCTCTTGTTTTCTAGCTAACATGTATTGACAGTGGCATAGCAAAATGCATGTAAAGTGACCATGTTGTGCTGTCTTACATTTTCTGTCAGCGTAGCCATCATCATACAGGAGAAACAAATTAGCAGCAATCAACCCTGCATGGCCACATTTAGCCCGTCCCTCCCAGAGCTGTGTGTGTCCATCAATGAGAGCATTAACATGCAAGCTCTCTGCCTAGAATCACCATAGACACACTAATTAAATCACCCGCAACAGGCCGAGAGCAGGAATATTAATGACATCCACCACCCCACAAACAGCCATTAAAACTCTCAAAACACAGAAAGCATGACCCTGTTAATGATGCAACCATTTAGAGGTAAATAATATTTGATGAAAAGTCTAATGAGCTCACTCTATGTCCACTATCTACATGTACAGCTATGTGAACATAAAAGGAAGTTCACAAGAAACCAATACGATATGTAGCAACCAAGTAGGTCTATAATTCCTTGAGAAAGTTATATGTTACCTTTCCAAAACTTTTTAAAGGGTGAAAAAAAGAAAAAGAAAAGAAAAAGTCAATTTTATACTTTACTGATAAAACACGGCTGACGTTACAGAAATAGTTGGACCTTGCATAGCTGATTCCTCTCTTTAATAAGCTCAAAAGAATGAGAGCTCATTCAAATATTGACTAAAGTTATACATTTTTAATTTGATCAATCTATTTTCTGATAATACTATTCAGTGTGTAAATGTACTTACATTTATTAATAATATTTCTCACGGATAATTAAAATAAATGGAAATCTTTTAGTCGAACTTGTTGCAATTCTTGACATTTCCTAATCCACAATGAATACATGCAGGATACAAATGATTTGAAATGATTGTGCACTAAACATTTTAATCACGTTGCCATCCAAATGGAATTTTAAGTGAACAGAAATGCCATGAAATGCCCTTTGTATTTTTTTTTTCTTGAGCAGTAGTACAAGTATAACACTCCAGATGAACTCACACAACAGCCTGCACTATACTGTACAGTAAAAGTAAACCACATTCAAAGGAGCTCCTGAGGAATGTACAGTATATGAAGTATTAACCACCTTCTGCATTGGATCATGACACACTCATCCAAAAGTATAAACAAGAACCCTGTGAGCTTCTTGATAAGGGGATCTATTTTGTGTACATATATATTTTTTGTATTTGTAGACAGCCTGTTTTATATCTGCTAACACTTCATTTTTTTGGTCCCACAACAGATATTCTACTGAATATAAGAAACATATAGTATACTAACCTGGGTAGATGTGCACCAGTCGTATGCAAGTTCTTAAATTGGAACGTAAAGTCCACGTTAAAGGCTTAGTAACTACTAGCTAGTTTGTAACCAACTCTTTTTTCTTTATACAGTTGCACAATTTGTTCTAAAGGCAGCATGTACTGTATCTATTAGGTTTTAAGTTCTCTGTAAAGTAATGCATAGTCACATACTGTAATATGACGTTTACCCTCAATATTCCAAAAGCAGCCTTCAAATATGTGAGCGGAAGTTGTGTAATTCTGTGAATTTCAGTTTATCCTTTATTCTAACTTCTTTTGCCTCACATAATGAACAGTAAAATAAGTTTCCATTAAATACTTTGCATTAAATGTAAAAACACATAATATCTAGGTTAAATAACATTCAGAAACTAATAAGGATCTTAATAAGAATTAATAAGGATCGATAAATAATACTAAATACTGATACAAAAAAATAAAATTTTATTATGACTAAATTAAA